AAAAAAAAAAAAAATGTTGAGCATAAACCTTTGTCCCTATCTTTGATTATTTCCTAATAATAAATTCTGAACAGGGCACTTGCCAGGTGGAGGTTTTGAACATTACAAGGTCATTGGCTAGAGTCCAACATGGTGGCCCCAGGGTGCCATCCCCCTGATGGCTCTGATGGGCCCATGGCCCCATACCCTGGCCAGCACTGGGTCTTACCATCTCATTTTTTATATTTGCTGTCGTGATGCATTCAGAATGTTATTTGGTGTTACCAGGGCCACAATTTTAGTAGGTCTTTAAAAAGGTCTATTTTTATCTCTTCTTTTGGGTAAGCCCAGAATTGTTCTCTCACAATGCACCCTCTTCATGCCCCGTGTAGCTGCTGGGATTTTGATTACAATTGGCTGACTGTGAAGAGTTAATATGGTTCTATATAATATTCTCTTCACATCAAAGGACATGGCAGATAACTGCTCCTTCACATCTACCTCTAACCATCAGGAAAGTTTTGTGGTTTTCTTCACATGTGTCTTATGTTCATTCTTAAGTTTATCCTAATTTTGTGAGGTTTGTAAATTGGGTCTTTACATATAAAATACATAGAAAAATCACTGGTTTATGTGTCTTTTTGTATATTTATCTTACTCCCAGCAACATTACTGGGTTATTCTACAATGTCTCTAACAGTTGGTCAGTTTGCTGGACTTTCTATGTAAACAGCCATGTTATTTGGAAATAAAAAAAAAAACACTTGTCTCTCCTTTTCCAGTAAATAACCTTTTCTGGGCAAGGCACGGTGCTCATGCCTGTATTCCCAGCACTCTGGGAGGCTGAGGCGTGTTGATTCCCTGAGCTCAGGAGTTCGAGACCAGGTTGAGCAAGAGTGAGACCTCATTGCTACTAAAAATAGAAAAACTTAGTCAGGCATTGTGGCAGGCACCTATAGTCCCAGCTACTTGGGAAACTGAGGTAGGAGGATCGTTTGCATCTAAGAGACTGAGGCTATATAGTGTGCTATTATGATCAAGTGTCTGAAGTACGGTGTCATCAATACGGTGACCTCTCAGGTCTAGGGACCACCAGGTTACCTAAGGAGGGGTGAACCAGACGGGGTTGGAAATGGAGCCGGTGAAAACTCCCATGCTGGTCTATAGAGCACTGGCTGCACTCCAGCCTGGGCAACATCGTAAGACCCTATCTCTAAACACACATAAATTAGAACAATAATAATAATAATAATAATAATAATAATAATAATGGAGTCTATTCTCAAAGAAGACATGGTAATCCTTAATGTGTGTGTGCCTCAAAAGACATGAAGGAAAAGTATGAAAGAATTTCAAGGACAAATAGATGAATCCACTTTTATAGTTGGAGAGTTTAACACCCCTCTGAGTAATGGACAGATCCAGCAGTCAGAAAACCAGTCAGGAGATTGGTGAACTCAACAGCATCACCAGTCAAGGGGACGGAGCTGATGTCACAGAATACTTCATCCAACCACAGCAGGATACAGGTCTCCTCACCCTAATTCTTAAAGCAATCTGTCAGGGTTCAGTGGGCATATTACGTCTCTGGGCACCACCAGGAAAGGAAGTCCTAACCAATCCTGAGCAAAGATTTCTGTGTGTGCATATGTGTTCCCTAAGCAGAGTTTTAAGCTGTCACTGGGGCTAGAGTGCCATGGCCTCAGCCCAGCTTGTAGAATCCTCAAACTCCTGGGCTCAGGCGATTCTTTTGTCTCAGCCTCCCGAGTAGCTAGGACTATAGGTGCCCACTACAACACCCAGCTAATTTTTCTATTTTTAGTAGAGACAGGGTCTTGCTCTTGCTTAGGCTGGTTTCAAATTCCTGAGCTCAGGCAATCCATCTGCCTCAGCCTCCCAGAGTGCTGGGATTATAGCCATGAACCACCAGCCTAGAGGAAAGTTTCTTGACATGGGCACTTGGCAGTCATTTTTCAGAGTAGCACCTACAAATTACAAAGCTACACAGCTCTCTGTGCCAAGTCAAGTGACTGCTGTCACAGAGGGCCCAGCTGCCCTGGGGTGACTGATGGCTCATCAGACCATCCCAAGACCCAGCAGTGTGCTCACCCCAGAGCGGCAGACCCTACCACCCAGGAAAGCCCCAATCACAGAACTCCCATGGCCACACCCCACGCCTGACACCCGATGTGCATACTAGGTATTGGCAACTCTGCAACCTGAGCCTCCCTAGTACACTGATCAGAGTTGGGGTATAACCCCGAGGAGCTCTAGGCACTTCTAAAACAAGTCACACAGAGTCACCCAACTCTTCAGAGGTGGAACCCCCATCATATGCTCTGGACAACTCAGGCAACAACAACCACCCCATCCTTGTTAGGAACATGGCAGGCCCC